CAAATTTGCTGATGATATTAAACTGGGAGGAGCTGTTGACTCCATCAAGGGTGGAGAGGCCTTGCAGAGAGATCTAGACAAATTAGGGAGCTGAGCAATCACCAAGCACATGAAGTTCAGCAAGAGCATGTGCTGGATCCTGGACCAGGGAAGAAGCAACCCTGGCCAGACATACAGACTGGGGGATGAAACACTGGAGAGCAGCCCCGTAAAAGAGGTCTGGGGGTCTTGGTTGACAGCAAGTTGAACATAAGTCAGCAGTGTGCCCAGGCAGCCAGGATGGCCAACCGTACCCTGAGTGCATCAGGGCCAGCACTGCCACTGGGTGAGGGGAGATGATTGTCCTGCTCTGTTCTGAGCTATGTGGCCTCACATCGAGCTCTGTGCTGTTTGGGGCACCACGCTATGAAGGAGACATAAAACTGTTAGAGAATGTCCAATGAAGTGCTACAAAGATGGCAAGGGGTCTGGAGAACAAGACGTATGAGGAGCAGCTGAGGTTCATGGGTTGTTCAGCCCAGAGCAGAGGAGCTGAGGGGAGGCCTGATGGCGGCTGCAGCTCCTCACAGGGAGCGGAGGGCAGCGCTGAGCTCTGCTCTGTGTGACAGCGACAGGGCCCGAGGGAACGGCATGGAGCTGCGTCAGGGGAGGGGCGGGTGGGGGTCAGGGACAGGGTCTGCACCAGAGGGCGGTGGGCATGGAACTGAACTGGATCTCTGGGGAGGTGGTCATAGCACTGAGCTTGCTGGAATTCCAGAAGCATCTGGACAACGCTCTCAGTCATATATTGTGATTATTGGATGGTCCTGTGTGCAGCCAGCAGCTGAACTCCAATGATCTTTGTGGGTCCCTTCCAACTCAGAATATTCTAAGATTCTATTACTCTGTAATTCACATATATTCACGTACTTTAGAATGTAGCTGCGGTAGGGCTTTCACCTAAGGAGCAAGCACACTGGTGCTGAATTGCCATCTGAAAAGAAACCCCAGACGTGCTGCCACATCAGTGAGCCTTATTGCAAAACGCACTGCGGAGCGCTGGGGTCAGGTCTCATTTACCTTTTGGGAGCAAACTCTGCTTCTAGCCAGCAGCGCCCTCTTGTGGCTTTCTGCTAAAGTACAGGCTCAAACTGTCCCATCCCTCTTTCTAAATCTGGACCCGATTCACTGCGCTGCTGCCTGTGTGAGTTACTCGGCAACACAAATGAACCACTGCTAGATGAGAGAGGGTTCCAGAAGAGAATTTTTTATATTTTCAATTTAATTCATAATTTGTGTTGTTTTGGAATTAACGAGCTGCATCTTTAGTTTTTTCTGCTTTGTAGTTTTAACTGATTAATGTAGATTTTTAAAAAAAACAACACTAATGAGTACTGGAAGCTAAGATCACACTTACTGTAACAGTGATATCTTTGAAACTCTTTATATTTCAGTCTATATACAACAGGGGCTGTGTCAGGGACAGAAGTGACTGTGAAAATCAGCAAACGTGCATATCCATGACAGTGCTGCAGCAAGTGGTATAAAGCAATCTCTGGATGCATAAATGTGTATAGCAAGTAGGAAAAGTGGAATGATTTTATTGTGGTATATAGCACTAGTGATACTGATAGCAGATTTCCCTTTGGGAATTCTGGCAAAAATCAACCTTAAAATTGAAAAAAAAAAAAAAAAAAGAAAAGATGAGCAAAAGAGCACCACAGCTGATCTTCTTTTGGACTGGAGAAAATGCATTTCAACAGGACATATGAAAAATTCAGTGTGTTAAATTTGTCAAACAAATGACTGAGAAGTGACTAGATTATAGCAGAGAAATACCTTTAGGAAAAGAAAAATCCCATATGCCAACAGATTCCTTAATCAGGCAGCGTTGGCTGAAAAGCAGTGGCTGCCAACTGACTGAGAACCATTCTACTGACAGATAAAACCCAAATGTTTAACTCTGATTGTGATTAATGCCTGGCACAGACACTTGGGAGAGATGATAGAGCCATCTCTTTATAGCCATAAATCAGTTGTCACATTGTACATATTTTACCCAACCATAACTTATGTTATTATTCAGCAAAAATAAGTGGGTTAAATATGGGGGTAACCGGTTGACACAAGATGACCTATATTATACGTGACAGTTTAAATGGCTGGTCCTGTCCCCCCTGTCCCACTCCCACCCCCCTATCCCCTACCCCCCCAGAAATTAATTATAGGGATTCAAATTCTCTAATGATTTCAAAACCAGCTGCTCACTAGTGTGAGAGGAAAATAAAGTTAATGATGAAAGGAGTTATCCTCACATTACTGAGATACTCTCTGAACATCTATAAAATGCCAAGAGGTAGCAATTAAATGAAAGATAAGGAAATACAAGATCTAAGTACTTCAAGCAGGGAAGATGTACCATTAGTAGAAGAGGATGAGTTCAGGGAATACTTGAGCAAGCTGAGCATACGTAGCCCATTGGCCCTGATGGGCTTTACCTGTGAATGCTGAGATAGCTGCCATTGTGAAGCTACTCTCAATAATCTTCAATCAGTGATGATCAAAGGTTATGAGAAAAGCACCCAAAAACTGGAGGAAAGCAAATATCACTTCTGTCTCCAAGCCAGGTAAGAGGATCCAGGGAACAATTTCTGAACTAGTTCATGCTGGAGGTCCTCAGCTGGAAAGCAGATTGACAGAAAAGGAACTGGGGTCCCGGGGGACACCAAGTTGAACATGAGATGGCAATGTGCCCTTGCACCAAAGGCAGTTAATGGTTTCCTGGGTTGCATTAAGCAAAGTATTACCAGCAGTTAAAGGGAGGTGATCCTTCCACTCTGCTCAGCACTGGTGAGGCCTCACTTGGAGTGCTGAGTCTATTTTGGGGCTCACTAGTACAAGACATGAACTACTGGAGAAAGTTCAGTGAATGGCCATAATGATGAGCAAGGATCTGGAGCATTTCTCCTAAGAAGAAAGGCTGAGAGACTTGGGACTCCTCAGCACATAGAAGGCTCAGCAGTGGGAATCTCGTCCATGTGTACAGATTTCTAAAGGAAGGATGCAAAGAAGATGGAGTCAGGTTCTTTTCAGTAGTGACAGCACCCGGGGACAAGAAACAATGGATACAAACTAGAACATGTGAAGTTTGCCCTGAACATCAGGAAGAACTTCTGTGCAAGTGGATGAGCAATGGCACAGGTTGTTCAGAGGCTGTTGGGTTTCCTCAGCCACCTGGACATGGTCCTAAACACCCTGCTTTGGGCATCTCTGCTGGAGCAAGGGTTGGGCCAGATGGACTAAAATGGAACAGGCTCCCCAGGGAGGTGGTTGAGTCACATACCTGAATGTGTTCAAACGCAATCTGTATGTGGTGCTCAGGGACATAGAATCATAGAATCACAGAATTGCTTAGATTGGAAAAGACATTCAAGATCATCAAATCCAACCGTAACCTGACCATACTACCCTGACTCTAACAACCCTCTGCTAAATCATGTCCCTGAGCATCACATCCAAACGTTTTTTGAACACATTCAGTTATGTGACCCAACCACCTCCCTGGCGAGCCTATTCCAGTGCTTAATGACCCTTTCTGTAAAGAAGTTTTTCCTGATATCCAATCTAAACTTTCTGTGGTGCAACTTGAGGCCATAAACATGATTCAGTGGTGGGTTGTTAGAGTCAGGGTATTATGATTAGGTTACGGTTGGACTTGATGATCTTGAAGGTCTTTTGCAATCTAAACAATTCTGTGATTCTATGATTCTATGACCCAGACTTACCTTTCATCCTAAGCCATTCTGTGATTCTGTGACTGTAGTGGAGACACTTTACAGAATCACAGAATCACAGAATGATAGAATCACAGGAAGGGACCTCAAGAGATCATTGAGTCCAACCCCCCTGCTAAAGCAGGTTCCTACAATAGGTTACACAGGTAGGTGTCCAGCCACGTCTTAAATATCTCCACAGAAGAAGACTCCACACCCTCTCTGGGCAATCTATTCCAGTGCTCCATCATCCCTACTGTGTAGAAGTTCTTCCACATGTTAGTACAGGCTTTCCTATGTTCAAGTTTTAGGCCATTATTCCATGTCCTATTGCAACACAATGCCGAGAAAAGCCTCATCCATTTGCCTTTCACCTCCCTTTAGACATTTATCAGATTCCTTCTCAGTCTTCTTTTTTTCCAGACTGAACAGATACAGCCTACTAGCCATTCTTCATATGGGAGATGCTTCAGGCTCTTTACCATCTTTGTGGCCCTCTGCTGGACTCCTTCTTGGAGATGCCTGTCTTTTTGGAACTGGGGAGCCCAGAACTGGACACAGTAGTCTAAATGTGGCCATACCAGGGCAAAGTAGAGGCGAAGGATCACCTCCCTTGATCTGCTGGCCACACTCTTTTTAATACACCCCAGGATACCATTGGCTTCCTTGACCACAAGAGCACACTGCTGGCTCATGGCCAACCTGTTGTCCACCCGAATATCCAGGTCCTTCTCTGTGGAGCTCCTCTTCAGCAGGTCATCCTCTAACCTGTACTGATGTATGCAGTTATTCCTCCCCAGGCGCAAGACTCTATACTTGTTTTTGATAAACCTCATCAGGTTCCTCCCAGCCCAGTTATCGAGTCTGTCCAGGTCACAGCCTTTAGGTGTATTTCAGCCAATTCTCCCAGATTTGTATCATCAGCAAACTTGCTGAGGGTGTGCAGCAATCCTTTATCCCTTCATCCAGGTCACTGATGAAGATGCTGAACAAGACTGGACCCAGCATCAACCCCGGGGATCACCATTAGGTGCATACCTCCAACCAGACTCTGTGCTGCTGATGACAACCCTTTGAGCTCTGCTGGTCAGCCAGTTCTCAATTCACCTCACCATCCATTCATCTATCCCACATTTTCTATGTTTCATAACAAGAATGTTGTGGGAAATGGTGTCAAATGCCTTGCTGAAGTCAAAGTACACAGCATCCACTGCTCTCTCCCATCTACCCAGCCAGTTATGACATCATAGAAGGCTATCAGGTTGTCAAGCGTGATTTCCTCTTGGTGAATCTCTGCTGACTACACCTGATAACCTTCTTTTCCAGTTACTTGGAGATGACATCCAGAGCAAGTTGTTCCATCCCCTTTCCAGGGACACAGGTGAGTCTGACTGGCTATAGTTTCCCAGATACTCCTTCTTGCTCTTTTTGAAAACTGGAGTGACATTGGCTATCCTCCAGTCTTCAGGCACCTCGCCCATTTGCCATGATCTTTCAAAGATGATAGAGAGTGGTTCAGCAATCACTTCTGCCAGTTCTCTGAGCACATGTGTGTGCATCCCCTTGGGGCCCACGGATTTGTGTGCAATGATTTTGGCTAGACACATCCATCTCAACCGACAGAAAGTCTTCCTTTATCTTTACCTCTGTCACTTACCTCCAGGACCTGGGATTCCTGAAGTCTAGTGTTAGCATTAAAGAAAAAAGCAAAGTAGGCATTCAGAATCTGTGCCTTCTCAGCATCTCGTTACCAAGGCACCCACCTCATTTAGTAGGGAACCCACATTTTCCCTAGTCTTCCTTTTACTGCTGTCATGCTTAAAGAAACCGTCCTTGTTATCCTTTACCTCCTTTGCAAAGTTTAATTCCAAGAGGGCCTTAGCCTTCCTAATTGCATCCCTCCAGGCTCTGATAACATTTCTATATTCTTCTCAGGTGGGCAGGCTCTTTTTCCACATTTCATGGACCTTTTTCTTTCCTTTCAGTTTATCCACGAGTTCCTTGCTCATCCATGCAGGCCTTTTGGCAAATGTTCCCAGTTTCTTGTAAATGTCAGATTTGCTGGTACAAGCAGAGCAGTAGATGAATGTTACAACACACTATTTGAAAACACTACTTTAAAGCAAAATGCAGCCTTTCCATTCAGAGGGGAAAAGAAGTTGGTTACTTCTTGATAACTGATCTAAACTAAATGAAGTTGATTGTAATTCTCCAGTGAATGACTGGGAAGAGAAGACTCCTTCCTTCACAAGTAAATATCTGAACTGAGACTATAAAGAGAACTCCAAAGAATATAGCAACAATTATACAGAAGTCAAGAAAACAGAGAAAAGCCTTGGAAAAGTGGACTGCTTCTGTTTTATTGTCTGCAACAGTTTCCTTTCACTGGCATCTGTTTTCCATCTACTTTCTCTTGCTACAGGCTGGGCTTGAATGTAAAGATACTCAGACTCTGCTACCCAGGCTGCCTCAAGCTCTGCTGTCTGAAATACTTCAGAAGTCAAAGAAAGCAATGTATTGCTGGACAACAGCTTCTGAAGCACTTCTACTAAAAGTGGGTGTTAGAGAAACAAATTGTATCCTTAGCTATTTGCCAAAGGCCCAAATGCCATATTAGGAGGCACTAAGAGGCTCTGGGCGCTCTGAAGGAGAGCCAGTAGTTGTGGGAATGAACAAGTAGGGGTCACAGTACCTGATCCCAGGGAAGTGGGACAACGCTTTCTGTGCACATTGGATACTCCTGCTGCCCAAGAATCCTGTTCTTCTCTGCATGATTCCTCCTCTCCTGCTGACTGAGATTTTTGTGCTTCTGGTTGTTGCTCAGCCTTACCAGTCCTTGCTAATTTACTCATGCTCTGAACACAGGCCATGTTTTGACATTTGAGGAATCCTGATCTATAATTACTGAATGGACTGTGGCAACGCAAAATTTCCTGAGAGATGTGGTCTGGGAAAACAGTGCTGGAGTATTATTAAGAGTAACAGAGACAGAACAAGGTCGTTAGATTCAAATAAGCCTGGCACTGGGATACCAGCAGACATTGCTATTTAGAGCCAATGTCAAAAAGAAAGTCCTGAAGAAGTCTGGATTTCACATTCAAAACCACACAGGTCACTGTGATGACAGGCAGACCACACAAAGAGCAGACCAAACCCTGTGAAAAATGTCATTAGCTAAGGGCTAAGTTCTTTTTGTCAGTTTGTGCTACTGTGTTATCAAGAAAAAGTCAACAGGAATAATGGTATTTCTTGCTTTCCATACATTCTATTCCCAGATGTGGATGATGGACTAAATAGTTGAAGATAAACCAATGCCTCTTGCAGAACTGACTGCACCCACAAACTACAGCTTCCTTGGCTTGCACTTTCAGTGTGTTTTTCCTCACAGATCCGACTGAATATTTTTTCCCAAGTTTGTCTTGCCCAGTGACATTTCTTGGCTGACGTTTCATCTTCCTTGGCAGCCACAGAACTGTACTTAATGCTTGAACATAATGGGATGGCAGATTCAAATTGATGCAGATCCAACCCACCCCACATATGTGCCTTACGCTGCCGTGGGATAAGTAAATGACAACCAAAGCAGCTTTTGGACCACTGTATTTTCAGGCCACTGTGATAAGGCAAATTGTGTAATTGTGTTTAGGGTTAGTTCACTTTTGGATTTTAGATTTAAGACACTGTGGCTAGCTCTGTCATAAATGTTTGGCAGACAGTCAGTAGCACAACAATCTCAGCCAACCACATTTAATGTGTCACTGCATATGGCAGAGACCTAAAGGTGAATCTGCAGCTGCAAGAAAATCTTGTTTTAATCTGATTCATTGTCATCTACGAAGAATTTGTATCAGTTCTTTTTTTTTTCTGAAGTCAATAGATTTTTAATTCTATCAGTTTCCCACTGTTTGTAATTTTCCATCTATAAATACATCATATGTGTATACACACACAAGTATACAGTTGCCTTAAAAAAAACCAACCAGACGTATCATTCAGTATCTGACAAGTGTCAAGTGTTCATAAATGTCTATTTCAGAAAGTTGTTTTCCTAAAACTTCCTTTTGCAGTTCCAATTAGCTTGGCAGATGTTCTCACTATGCAAAGCCCTGCCTTTGCAATCATAATACTAAGCATATTTGAGATTTGTGGTCCATTTTCAAACTTTCTGCTGACCCTCATTTATTTCTTTTCCAAACCTCCTGAATTTCTTTTCTAGTCTGCCATGTCCAGATTTCCCTGCTTTGAAGATCAATTTTTCTTTCAGTGTTCTATTATCGTACATAATCACACCCATTGTTCTTGAGTATTTGTGAAACAACAGAACGTGATGTTTTTGTTTACTTCGTGACTGTTCTAGAGTAAAATGCTATAGAAAAGTCAACTCCTCAAAGCATTACAGGAGTTTTCTTTTTGAGATGCTACTTTTGCTCAAATGGATCATCAAATTTAAAGGACTTGGAAGGATTACTTTTTTCCACTTGAATAAAAATTACTAATGAAAATTAGATATGTTCATAATGTAATCTTATTTGACAAAAACATGCATTAATCCTGTTTATGCAGAACAAGCCAACACTGCCAGGAAGTTTCCATGCCCACGAAAGTGAGAGTGTGTCTCTACAAGTGCTCAGACCCCTAATGACCTTTATAGCTCAGCTTCTTCTCAAGATCACACCAGCAATTCTTTCCCCTGCCTTTCTATTGTGAATGTCCATTGTTTACAGGCAATATCCCTTCCCTTTCTTTTTCACCAGCTGAAAACTTTCTTAATTCATTCTCCTTAGATCTGGTTTTGTACGTTTCTCTTCAATTGAAAATAGAGCTGGGCTAAGGTGATCTTCTAGGTGACGTTCTCAATGATATAGTCTGGAATCTCTAATGCTTTAAATTTAAAACAACCCTGATAAGACACTATTTGAGATTAACTTAGTAGTTCATTATCACAAATGGGTATAATTCAGACTCTTTCCTGTGTACCCACAGTAGCCTTTTGGGAAAAAGTGTTGGATAGGTAAGTTTACAAAAATAACTACTGTACATTTTGGTAAACATTTCAGAAAGGACAACAAATTCAGCCTATGGTTCATAAAAATCCAAAAGCTTTCACTGGAAAGACAATGTTTGAATCAGAATTTCACATGCATTTCTGATGGGCATTCCTTTTATTTGCACATTACAAAATTAACGCAAGTATTGCAATACTTCACAGGATAATAGAATAGCTGGCAGATTCCAAACATTTCATCACAAATCTATGGGACGTGTATAAGGGAACATACATAGTCAGTAATGCTGTACTTGCACGGGTGGCTCAAAAGAGAGAGCAAACCAACAGGAATTAAAACAAGCAGAAAATGTAAGGAGAAGCTAAGCATTCACAACACTTACTCTGTTAATAACTTTTCTGATCTTTTAATCTGGGGACTTCCAAAAAATTACAGATGCTATAGGAAGAAATCCAAGTTGTTTCATAAGAATCTTTATCTTTTTTTTTTTTTTTTTTTTCCCCAGTTGTGAGATCAACCCAATCTCAGCTGTAAAAATGGCAACATTCTCACTGTGTGGAAACAACATAAAATCCAATTTCCAAAGATCCTGGAAGATGCTGAGTAGCTTTCTTTCATGCATCACAGCACCAGATGTGTCAGCCCTTTCCCATTGCACATAGGCAGCCTGGAAACTGGCTGAAGATGGCAGAGCCCTGCTGAATGAGGTCAGCTATCCCAGGAACTTCACTTGCCTTTGATTCTCACTCTCACTGTGAGTCAGAGAAGGAACAGCAAGCAGAGCTGTAACAAGGCTGAATGCATCCTGGACACAATCTCAGGGTGGTGACACCTCCCCAGGAAGGGGAATAAACATGCTCCCTGGCTTTAATGTAAGTGTTAGAGAGCAATATCAGTATGCTCTGCATTACAGGGTGATGACTGTGTGTAGGGATGCTGCTCAGCACACAGCAGCTCTCAGGAAGTCATTGGCACTGCTTGGCAAATCCCTACACAGCCGTGCTGTGAAGCCCTTCTCTCAGCCCCAGAGATGTGAGGCAGGCATCTTTTGTGAGCAACTTCTGCAGTGGTTTTTGAGATGCTGACTTTCAGATTAAAATGATGTTAGATAAGGTACAGCTGCTACACACCATTCATGGCTGTCCCAAATCATTGTCATTTTTACAGGAAGTCTGAGATGTGTTTTACCAAAAATGTGGAGACTTTCCTTTATGATCAATTGTTGTAAATGAGGTTTCAGTCTTTTATCTCATTTACTTTTAATGCTGCCTGGCCAAACAGGACTTCTTGGTAACAAAAAAACACATTTTTTCCTGAATGGAACTCAGAAGAGCCACCCTAAAGTGGCAGCTCTTAAGTTTTAAGCCTCTTAGACCAAATTATATCCACCTGCTTTTCTCAAGCATTTCCTGTTCCACACTTTATTAACACTTCAGTGTGTTCCACAGCCACTGAGAAATGTGATGTTAAATTTGGCCCAGCTTTGATGGAGGAGTTGGACCAACCTACCCCCAGAGGTCCTTCCAAACTAAATTATCTCGTGATTCTGTGATTCTTACCTTCTGAAAAATTTTTTGATTGCATTTTCAGCAGTCACCTCACCAGTATGTATCTCATTTCATCTTAACCCTGCATTTGCTTATTGACACAAACTGTAGTTAACAAGGTGAACTTAAGAAAAATCATGCCAGTGTTTTCTTTTCTAATCAGCAAATAGATCACTGTGACTTTCCCATGTAATTGGGTCCCTTATGAATATTAATACGCATACAATAATTAATTTATGTCAAACAGTCTTCTCAGACTGAAACTCCTGTTTTTATTTCTAGGCCACTTTTAAAGCACCATGAGAAAAGAAATTTTCAGCTGAGCAGCAGATTCAACAGCACAGTTTCCACCACATATAACAGGTTTGGGGCTATATTGTGAACAAAAAAACGTGTAAGAAAAGGATGTGATACAGATACAATCAAAACAGACCATAGATAACTTCACAGCTAAATACTTTTCTAGAGCTGTTACAGAGAAAGCCAATAAATTTTTATATATGCCTAATTTACCACAAAAATTAATTTAACTTGCATCTAAGTATCTCCTGTAAAAGTTCTTTCTGGGTATTTTTAAGGATCTAAAACAGAGCACATCTCTTCTACAGCTTAATGGTAAGGCTTTCATGAACAAAAAGGAGATAGGGGGCAAGAGAAAAGGTAGACCTCTTTGCAATCCTTCATAAAAGACTAATTTTCTAGTTAGAAAACTCTCCATGAATGTGAGTTTACTGTAACTCCTGTTTGCCAAGCATTTGCATGTGAGGTTCTGACTCTGCCAGTACTGAGTCTTACTCTCCTCATGGGGAGAACTCCTCTGAAATTGGTTCATGAAGGAGGCTGGGATCAGCACTAAGTTTTGCAGAGCTCACTATTCCTGCAACTGAAATATCTACTTGCTGGTGCAATTAGGAATCTGTTTCTACCTTTAAAAAATGAAGGTTAATGGTCTTTTTAAGAGATAGCCAACAACTGACCATTTACCTCATGGTGATTAACTGTGTGTCTAGATAAGGCACTCAGTATGTGGGACACCAGAGCACAGCAGCCTTTATTCTGGAGAAGGTTTAAATCCAGAGCTCACAATTCCTTCTGGCCTTCTACCCATCTGCTGCAGGACATACTGGTCATCTATGGAAGCTCTTCTGCTTTGTATGGCATCCTTGAATATTCAGCAGGACAAGGAAAGCGAATGAGTATGATACTACAGTATGATCACTGGAATACTCGAGTGTTGGATAATGTGCCCAGCAGCAGTTAAGCATTTTACCGAAATCAGATATTAGAATATCTCCCATGAATTCCTGATGATGATAGCGTTTACCTAGATGCTTCTAGCATCCCGGGATGAAAACTAGAAAAGCATTTAGGTCTAGATGCACACCTCACATTCAAGCAATTATGGAAAAAAGGCAGATTCTTTCAATCATGGATTTGTGGAACTACATGTTGACACCTATGTTGCATTGAATACTGCAGATGAAACAGGAGAGGCAAAAATCTGTCCCCTAGATCTCAGTGGTGTTTCCACCTGAAATAAATTCAAAGTACTTGGGCTGTACTGTACTGTACTGTAATGACTGAGGTGTTGGTATCAAGTCACAACAAACATCTTTAGGTTTTGGCAGCATCTTAATAACTGCCAGTATGTTTATGTACATTTATACCAGAGCATCTTTATTTTAGTCAAATATACCTAAAGTGGCATGGCATAGAATCACCTTAAATGGAGTTGTGTAATTTCAACATTCTATAATTTCTTAAAACTTTCAAGAATCAAGTCCTAGTAAACCAAGAGTAACAACTTTTCTGATCCTTCTCAAAATTGAAACTAGGAACCTCAGTGAAAATTATTGAGATTCGTAAGTTCACAAATACATGAGGGAATATTTGCACAGCTTTGAAGCACTGAAATTTTCTAGACTTAAAAAAAAATCTGAGGAATCTTAATGAGACTAGTTGTCAGGTAACTCCTGGGCTTTTTTTCTTCTTCTTAAACTGTGACATTCAACAAGTGAGAAGCTTTAGCATGACCTGCAGTATCTTGCACAACTAGTGTCAAAACTGGGACACAAAAGTATGATATTCTCAGACAAATAATTTATCTGCCTCTAATAGCATATATCAGTGTTGCAGCTTTGTAGTCACGCTGTCCTGTTACTAAAATAATTATTTTCTTCCTTGGAATTCTGTGAAAGAACTGCAGAGACACACACTGAAAGGTGTTAGATGCGTTATGAACAGCTGAAGATAGCCCTTGGCTAGAAGGCAATTTTTGATATGGTATATGAACATACAAAGAGTAGAAACAAGAGTGAATAATAATAAAATTATCCCTTTAGTCAGTTGGGATAGCACTAATTGTTTGTTCATACCGCTATTATTTCTTATAAGCAGAATTCCAGGGAAGGTTTGAGTATAGCAGAGACGAGCAGAGATGCCTGGCAAATAGCTTTGGGAATAATATTGTAAGTATACCTTCTGCCAAATGGTATCAGCGGTAAGAGAAAGCTAAATTTAAATATCAAAGACATTAAAATTGACAAACACGCTGGCTGCCAGCCAGACAGCCAGGGAAAGCTGAGTTGTTGGGTTTGGTTTTTAATGAGATTGTTTTTGTATCCCAGTGAGCTTGGCAGCAAGCTGTCTGTCAGGATGTAGCACTATGGAGGCAGCAAGATGCAAAGCCAACATGCAGAAGAAAAATTAGCAGTAGATAAGTGTTTTAAAGACAGTTGACACAGAGGTAATAGTTTGATCTGTGTCAGCAGGAGAGGTCACCGGAGGATGGAAAACAAAAGGTGGGAGGGAAGGCACAGCAGGAAGCTTATATGGAATTCTCCACTTGGAAGTTGGAGAGAAAGCTTTGGAAAGAATCTAAACAGAGAAAGAGAGAATAGAAAATGTCATAAACTCCAACTCTAAGGATTAATAGTAGTGTCAAGGGCAACAAGTATCTCAGAGAGGATAAGGATGATGAGCCTACCCCAGTTTAAAAGACATGACTAGGAGGATAGCTGTGGAGGAGACCTGAACTGGTCTGAGAGTCTAGATCATAGCTATCTTCTGTATTTCCTGATTGCCATCGCAGTCAGTTAATTAATCCAGCTCTTTTCTGTAATGGTTTCAGACAGCAAAGGCTTGAGGACATGGCATTTTCACTTTATTTATTTGGATAGCACCAGAGGCCAGAGATATGAAGAGACACATAGAGGGAGGGCAACATGCTTTTTCTAGGAAAAATTAAATCAACACTGTAACTGAACAAATGCACTGAATGAAGGGTGGGGAATAGGGAAGAAATGGCACAGTCAGCAGCAAAGGAAGGGAAAAACAAAAGATGTTGATCATCATATTAAATTGAGATTAGCAGGCCCAATTAACATTTGTTATCTTTGCCAAGCTTGCTTATGAAACCTGTAACATTACTACAGAAAGCTACACGTTAATTTAAAAGAAATCAAGAAGCGCAGATAATATCTTCAATTGCTAAAATCAAAGCAGCTTCTCACGGGCTCATGCTGATAAGGCATCTCAGAGGCAGGATGGCAGATTACTCCCAACAGCAAGGTGAAAAAATCTCTCCAGAACCACTCCCTTAAGCATGCCTTCCTATTTGGTTTGCATATTGTTTTCTACACACCTCTTCATTGATTAGCATCTTCATTAATACATTAGGATTTAACTAATACTGGCCATGTAAATTCACTTAATCAAAATATAAGCTGCAGCTCACGTGCGATACACTGAATTTGCATCAGATTTTACAACTAACTTTTCTCTATCTGCACTCCTACAAAGCTAAATTCAGCAGTAGGAAAGGAGAGAGGGTGAAAAGATTTTCAAGGACTCCTCAGATATTTCTTAATGGGGTGCAGCACATCTTATCTCACAGTCTCTCCTACATTGAGGCCAGAGTCTCAAGAAACACCACCAAGTAGCAAACTGTGTGGGCAAGAACTGCCAGATATGCCCCATGCCAATAAGGCTGCTGAGCTCATGAACTCTCCCACCTGACTTATTTCTCAGTAGACTAATTTTGCCGTGCTGCAGAATGGGCCTACTAGCAGCCTACTTTGCAAAACTGCAGTGTTCTCATTAGCTAATATGTGCTAAGTGTCTGGAAGTAACTCTTGGCTCATAAAAGAGGGATCTCAAAATATCTGTTCAAAATGAGAGCACATTCTCAAATGAAATAGCTGACGTTTGTTTATGGAGGCAATGAGGCCAGCAGATGAGCTCCCATGCTGTGTTGGCCCAGCCGGGATGAGGAGGCTACCAGTAGGTGGCTGCAGATGCCAGCAGTGGGGCTGGCTCCAGGCTGGAGGCAAACACTTGTGCCTCTGTCAGCAGCACTATGGCAGAGTCCATCCATAGTTACCCATGCCCTAGATAGGCTCAGCCTGAGTAAATCAATACTGACTAAATAGTTGCTTTGCATGGAGCAAAAGACAGTGAGTGATGAGGCATATGGAATAACAGAATCATTATGGTTGGAAAGATCTCTAAGATCATGCAGTCCAACCATCAACCCAGATCACTCTAGACCATATCACTTGGTACAACATCCACCCTTTTCTTGAAAACTTTCAGGGTGACTCCACCACATCCCTGGGCAGCCTGTGCCAATCCCTCACCACTCTTTCTGAGGAAAAAAAAATTCTGAACATCTGACCTGAACCTCTCCTGGCACAACCTGAGGCCATTCCCTCTCATCCTATCACTGTTAACTGGAAGAAGAGGCTGACTCCCATCTTGCTACAACCTCCTTTCAGGCAGTTGTAGAGAGCAATAAGGTCTCCCCTGAGCCTCCTCTTCTATGACTGAACAATCCCAGTTCCCTCAGCCTCTCCCCATAAGATTTGTGCTCCAGACCCTTCACAGCTTTGTTGCCATTCTCTGGACACACTCCAGGGCCTCGATGTCTTTCTTGTAGTGAGGGGCCCAAAACTGAACACAGTAGTTGAGGTGTGTGGAATGTTTATGAGGGCCCTTTCTAACTTGATGAGCTAGTATATCTCAATCCATAATTAACCACAACTCATTTGCTTATACTACACTTTAGCACTGCTCTTGAATTCTAGTTTTGGCTGGCTCTGAATCAGAAACTTGCATTCCACCAAACTTGCAGGTGACTCACTTGTTACAGTGAGGGGGATTTCAGGAGTCTGATGACTTTTCCTTAGAAAGTGATTGGATACGATTTTTTTTTTAATTGTCTCCCCCAGTACTGACCTGCCCATTGGACTCTTGTGCCCTGGGATTTCACAACAAGGTGGTGCTTCTGGGGTTTTGTGTGTCAGAGCAATTCTGAGTCGAAAGAAGGATGAGGAAATCACCAGCACTGGTGGAGGCATTAGAGAAGGAAAAGGACCGGAGCCTTCTGTAGCTGCACAAGTCAGCACTAAAACCAGAGAATTATACAAGCATTGCACAAGGGAGACCTGACTGGAAGTGTTGCCTCTGGCTCACATTCCTTTTAAGCTGCTATAAAACTTTAAATATAAT